TTCAAGTCCTGTGCAAAAACGCATGATCGCACGGGCCCGCCCGGTGCGTTCCAGCCTGGGTTTTTACATCACTGATAACATTCGCTGATAAACGATTTGACAAATGTTAATTAGGCAAATAGTGCGCCTTACTCAGGGGACCGCACCTTCTATTGTTACGACCATCACAAATATCCTGCATGTTCCTCATCTGCAAAGAGATATAATTTCCGGCCATCCAGAAATACCTTGAACACTCCCTTCTTTGTTGGTTTGTTTGCATGAAGTCATTTTTTTTGCTGATTTCCTCAGTTATGACGTCCTACTGTTGTGCGTCACTACTTTTATGCGCAGAAAAGTTTATCGTGTTATTAGTCAAAGCACTGACTCGTTGATCAGTTTGACAGTATAAAAAGCCAAACTGGTCAACAAACTTCATATTAGAAGAGTACTTTGGGATGGTGCAGAATCTTTGCTAAATGGATCTGTCAGGAGAGCCGTTGAACGAACAATTCCTCGTGAAGATGAAGCGAACGCCAAGGTCACTAGCTTGCTAACCTCGTGGACAAGTCAAATAAAGGCTACATAGTTGGAGAACCAAGCTAAGAACTAAATCCCCCGCGAGCATTACAGACCTTTCACAAAAAAAAAAAAAAAAACAAGCCAGTCTCAAATTCTAACCAATTTTGGATTCTTTTTCTTTGCAAAAATGCTTAACTTTCAGGCGACGCGAATAGCCATTTACGTTTTATTCGTTGAGACAGTGCTCCGTGCTCTGCCAGAATTGTTCACTCTGTTGGCATCAATAATCGACTCGATCGTAATCACCAACTGCATGGCATATTTCGTTGGAATAAGTGCTCCAATGTGCAGTGTCTGTCATCCGTTCATTTTTGCATTTTCGCACCATGATTTCAAGGAAATCCTATTCCGTCGGATTGCTCGGGCACAGAACTGGGAACCCGCAAAGTCGGGCACAGGGACGGCTTCGACAGCTGCTGGTGCTGCCAATTCTTTCAAGAAGAGGAATAGTCACTTGGTCATACAAGTGCCTTCACGACTTAAAGCATTACCTTAGTACTCAAATCAACCATCATTTCCAGCGGAAAATAAAACACACTCGGACACTGAACAGCTCCATCATTAAAAAATATCTTGGCTGTAATTGCTCTATTAAGATAGTCGAAATAG